TATTCTAATAACAGTCGAGCATACTGTGTTTACAACACAAGTACCTCCACTGTTATAGAATCCATGAATGTAACATTTGATGAGAAAACCCCCACTGTTGATTCATCTATGTCTATTGACTTGCTTGAAAGTGTTGTTAGTAAACAGGATACCCAAATTGAAACCTCGAACCTTGGCAAAGAAAGTGAGAATGAAGAAGGTTCATGTGAATCGGCTGGCTCACCGGGAATTTAGACGGAATACAATGTTCCCACCACTGGAAATCAAACTGAACCAAAATGGGATCCACCCTTAAAGATTCAAAAAGCTCATCCATCCGAACTGGTTATTGAAGATTTGAACGAGAGGGTAACCAGGAACTCAAAAACCTCAACTAAAGAACTCATGGGCATCTCTCACTTTGCATGCTACACTTCCTTGATAGAACCCAAGAATGCAAAAGAGGCACTAAAGGATGAATGTCGGATCTCAGCCATGCAAGAAGAATTGGAGCAATTTAGTCGAAATGATGTCTGGGAACTTGTTCCTGAACCTTCGTCGGGAAATGTTATCGGAATTAAATGGATCTTCAAAAACAAAACCGATCAGTTCGGTAATGTGACTCGCAATAAAGCCAGATTGGTTGCACAAGGCTACACTCAGACTCAAGGAACCTTTGCTCCAGTTGCAAGGTTAGAATCGGTACGTATATTTTTATCAATTGCTTGTCTAATGAAGTTCATTGTCTACCAGACGGACATAAAGTCGGCTTTTTTGAATGGAATATTGCACGAAGAAGCTTATGTGAAGTAGTCGGCTCTTTTCAAAGACCCCAGTAACCCTAATCATGTCTATAGGCTAAAAAAGGCACTATATGGTCTGAAACAAGCAGCTCGTGCTTGGTATGAAAGACTTACGATGTACCTTCTGGAGAAAGGATTCAAGCGAGAGAGAGTCGATCAGACATTCTTTCCCCTGAAAACCAATACTGATTTGTTGGTGGTTCAAATCTATGTAGATGACATCATATTCGGGTCAACCTCGAAGAAACTGGTTAATCACTTTGTCGATCTTATGTCATCAGAATTGGAAATGAGTCTGGTAGGTGAACTTTCATACTTTCTCGGTCTTCACGTGAAACAAGGTAAAGATGGTATCTTTTTGCATCAAAGTAAATATGCCAGAAACCTTGTTAAAAAGTTTGGTCTTTAGAATTCTAAAAACCTTCAAACCCCTATGGGCACTCATGTAAAAGTGACTAAGGATGATGAAGGTACATCTGTAGATCAAACTCTTTATAGAAGTATGATTGGTAGTCTTCTGTATCTTACTGCCAGTAGACCTGATATTTGCTTTAGTGTTGGACTATATGCCAGGTATCAGTCTGCTCCTAAAGAATCCCATATGAAGATAGTCAAGCACATCATCAAGTACGTTGGAGGTACATCTGACTATGGGTTATTTTATTCTTCTGATACGAACCTACATCTTGTAGGTTACTGCGATGCAGACTGGGCTGAAAATCTTGACGATAGGAAAAGTACCTCTGGCGGTTGTTTCTATATAGGATCTAACCTGGTCTCATGGTTTTGCAAGAAACAAAACTTCATCTCCCTATCTACAGCCGAAGTTGAGTACATTGCCGTGGGAAGCGTTGCTCTCAGTTAGTTTGGATGAAGCAAATCCTCTCTGAGTATGGTATGGAGGTACATTCTGCTCAACTTTTCTGTGATAACACCAGCGCAATAAATATTTCAAAAAATCCCGTCCAACATTCACGTACCAAACATATTGACATACGCTATCACGTTATTCGTAATCTGGTGGAAGATGAAACTATTGTGGTGGATCATGTACCTATAGATGACCAGCTTGCTGACATTTTTACAAAGGCACTTGATTCAAAACGCTTTTTGTCACTAAGGAAATCCTTAGGAATGTGTGCTATATAATATCTATGCATTTGTGTCTTTTGTATCTGTGTATATATATATACACATATATATATATATATATATATGATCACGCTCCGGTGACCATAGTGTTAGTGAAAGAAATAAGAATACATCGTAACCCTTAGATCACATGATCTAAGGGTTTATATAAAAGTAAAAAATATACCTTCATTAAGGACATTGTAGTAATTTTTCACACTACAATCAAACAGATGGGCCCTACTACACATTAAATACCTGCAACCTAACCCACCTACCAACAAACTGCCCACACCACCCCGACCCCACCCCACCTCACCCCACCCCAGCAGGTCATCTCTCTCACACAAATAACACGCGCACACACACACAAATCACATACACAGACACAGACACACACACACACGACCACCGCCGTTGGACGCACCCCCGCCACCATACCACCGCCGCCTGAGCATCCCTGCTGCCAACGGAGCATCCCTGTCGTCGCCGGAACACCCCTGCCGCCATCAGAGCGTCCCACGCTCTATCTCTCTCTCTCCAAAAGGCCACCTTTGCCTTCCTTTGGCCGCCGACACTTGTCTCCGGTTGCAATCACTTCGCGGCGGCCGCGAAGGCCACATCCCTCTCCGAACATTGGCTAGACTCACTCTGCGGTGGTTCTATTTTATCGAGGTGTCCCGGATCTTACGCCGTCGACTTCGTTGCCAGCTTTGAGGAATGGCAGCACCCCGTTGAAAATCAGTCGTCTTTTTGGGGCAAGGCAGTAGATCGGTCGTTGGCCGCCGGGAGACGGTTGAAAAAACATTTTCTCACGGGACCTATTTGTTGAGATCGCTCGGCTTGAAGATCTGAAATTGAATTGTGGGTTGGGCCTTTGTTGAGAATTAGATTAAGTTTAGGCCTTATTTGCAATTAATAATTTAATTATATTTCAATTTAACCCCAGGGGTCAAATATGTAAATATTAAAAGTTAATAGAAATGGTTTTTCATATATTTTGTTATTCATATATATATACATATGTTAAATAACTAATAAATTATTAAATAATAATAATATAAAATATTAAAATAATTTATAATAGTAAATATATTTTATAATAAAAATAATAAATGAAAATATATTTTAATTATTTAGGTTAATTAGATGTAAAATTATATCTATTAAAACTAGTTTTCGGATACACATAGGGAAATATAAATTAGTGTACTTTATATAACGGAATATTGCACTTTATAAAATAACACGTCGAACTTTATAAAACAACAGATTGCACTTTATAACCACACTCCACAATGAATGTCAACAACTCTCGCCAAAATATTACGCAATATAAATATAAATATAAATTGTAATTTATAAAAGTTTGATAAATGTACATTAATAATAAAATGGATTGTGTACAGAAAAAAATATAATGCAATGGATTGCACATTAATAATACACGGACTGCACATTATTGTTACACAAACTGCACATTAATATTTTTATATACATGTTTTTTCATACATACGTATATTATATATGTTCAACAAAAAATAATATAAAATGTTGAATAAAAATGTTAATATACTAAATATATTTTCATAATATAAATAATAAATCATTTTAAACATTTAAGATAATTCGGTTAACCGAAAGAACCAGTTATTTCAGTTTGAATTTAGTTTGGTTTGGAAAAAAATTATAAAAAAATATATGATATGCAAATGCACAATAATGTTATACGAATTGCACATTAATTCTTACCAGAATGCACAATACCGACCGAACTAAAATTTTCGGTTCAAAACTTTATATTTCGGTTTAATTATATATTTTTACTCTTATAACATCGGTCATTTTAGTTTTCCATACTTTATTTTTTAAAATAATCGATATAACCGAACGACCTAACTATATAAAGAAATATTATTTTTTGCTATGTTTATATATAAAAACATATTATTCTTTCTTTAACTATAAAATATTAAAAATACTAAATATGATTTTGTAATACAAGTAATATATTATTTCGATTATTTGATTAGTTTGACTAACGACTGAATAAACCATTTAATTTGGTTCGATTTAAATTGAGTTTGGGACAAAAGTTGAGTTGGTCAGACTGCACAATAGCGACCAACACCAAGCACAATATTGTTAGACGAATTGCACATTAAATAAAAACAGATTGCACAATAGCGACAGATACCGGCAAAACTAAACTTATCGGCTCGATTATTTGTTGTTACTTTTAAAGTATATGTTAATTCAATTCATTGTCGGCTTTATTTTTTAATAGGATTAAAATAGTCAAACTGCATGAAATGTATTACTTTATTATTATTATTATTATTATTATTATTATTATTATTACTTGTTTTTACTTTTAAATAAAAGTAGATTGCACAATAATGTTATACGACTTGCACATTAATGACTATCAAATTGCATATTAGCGACCGAAATAAAAAAAACCTGAAATCCAAAAAAAAAAGAATATAAATTACTAAATAAATGTATAAAAAATAGCAAAATACCAACACCAACCAATTAACAATATTGTGCATATATTGACCAAATTTCTAAAATATCAACGCCAACCGGATACACTTTTAATATGTTTGTATATAATTTCGACCCATGTATTACATGTTTAAAATGTTCAATCATTTCTTTTTTTTTCAAAAGTTCGAATCAATTATTTCGGTTTTGAAATTTTGGGGTAGAACATACCGATGATCAATATTATACATTCCATAACTTTTTTGAACTTTTAATGGTGCAAATACACTCATTATATTATGTATTGTATTGAACATTATTGTACAAGTCACGTATCATTATTGTGAATGAATTGAACTTTTATTAAATCTCAAATTTGCCTAACATACTAAAATAGAATATATATTAAAATATAATTAACTACACTTAAGTCCCTATAAGTTGTCAAATTTACAAAAACAAAAAACCCACAATTCATGAAATTGTAAATCTCCCACTTGCAGCCTTCATATTTCTCAAATTCTAAGCAGTAGCTGCCAGCGCCATCATCAATTTCGAGACATCTCCCTCCTTGACAAGAATTCAGCCGCCGGTCACCCCCAATTTTGCCGCGGCCCGCTCTCAGATTCGGGTCGGATGTTAGCCAGCGGAAGAGAGCTCTTAAATTCCGGTCGGGGAAGATTAACTGTAAGGAAACGTCGACAAACATCACCTTCGCGTCTTCGGCGGCATCTGTTCAGGACGTCACTGACAGGGCCATGAACGGCCTGCGGCAATGCCGGCGGATCCGTGACGTGTTGTTGGGGACCGATCGTGGCGGAGACGACGTCTCCGGTGAATCTATGCCGTGATGTTGTGGACCTGGCGGCGAGACGACGTATGTGCTGGAGGAGACGAGGGCCAGTGATGGTGGTAGAAATTCGGCGCTATTTTCGGGCGACATGTTGCTTTAGTAATGGGGAGATGGGGAACGATGTGGTTTTGTCCGGCGGTGTCAGAGATGTCAAGAGGCTAATCAGTTGTTGGCGCAGCAGCGATGGTGGCGGTGGTCCGGCGGTCCGACGAGTGAGTTGTGTGTGTCAGTGTGTGTGTGTGTGTGTGTGTGTGTGTGTTTGATGGAGAAGATGAATGAGGGGTAGGTGGGGTGTCCGTCACTTATATTGATGTTAATTATTAATGTGTAATGGTGGGTCCCACAATGTTGTTGGGTTTGAATTAAATGTCCAAACTACTTGTAATTATTGGTCAAATACACATATTGAACCACAATATGATCATAATTACCAAATTGCCATTAATGATTGACCATAATTTGACTTCATCATACCCATTAATATGATTGATCCCATGGTCCAGATTCATTTTTATTTCTTTCAGTATCTACCATTTTCATATGATCCTAACTCTATATATATATATGCATATATATATATATATATATATATTGCCGGTTAATTATTTTAATTTGTCCCGATCGCCATACGTATGAACCGAGCCTTTTATTTGCTAAGTTCGAACCTAAGGAGCACCTGCCCAATGCCACTCGCATCAGCCCGCGACCCGTACCACGAACCCGCACCTCGGCCTAGAACCGCACCCACGAACTCGTAATATATGCATATATGTATTATTCTCTCCCTCCCCTTATTTTCTTCATTCACGCCGCATAAGCCATCAGAAAAGAAAAACTCTCTTCCCCGTCGATCCTGGTCATCGCCAAACCCTCTCACCACTCACCTCCATCGTCACGCATCATCGTCACCACCATATTTACCAGCCTCCGATCACCCTTCCTCATCGTCGTGCCCAGTGATTCGTGAGATTCCCTAGCCGCGCGAGAGATCTGTAATGCCCCATTTATTAGTGGTTTATTTGAAGTATTATTTTTATTATTATTATTATTATTATTATTATTATTATTATTATCATTGATGTTTATTATTATTGTGATGTTATTAATATTAATATTGAGTGCCTAATATTAATTTGCCTAAATGTGATTAAATGATAAATTGTCTAATTGTCTAAATAATTTTGTGATTAATTATTAAATGCGTATTAATATATGTAAAATATATTTATTATTCGGTTTATTTTAACGTGCGTTTGAGTTTATATCGAGCCCGAGAATATTCGCGCGAATCGAGTCATTTTATTTTGGCAAAATAAAATCGAGAGTTTGAGCCCGAGAGAACCGTATGTATTGGACCGGTGCCCCGGCCCTGTAATGCCCCGTTTATTTGTAGATTATTTGGGATTTATTATTATTATTTTTATTGCTATTATTATTGTTATTATTAATTGGTGATAATATTTATATTTTATTTTATTGAATGCCATTATGTTTATTTATTTGTCAAATGTGATTAAATGCTAATTGTGAAATTTGTCTAATTGTTTAATTGATTTTGTGATTATTAAATTTTTAATATGAATAAATGTGTATGTGATAATGTGTAAAATATATATATTTATTTTTCAGTTATTTTTATCGCGCGTTTGCATTCGAAATCGAGCCCGATAATTTTCGTTGGAACGATTTTGGCCCGAATATATCTGTTTACATTTTTATTCGAGCCCGTGAGCCGATTTGTTGTCCTAACCGACCCAAAAATCCTTTTGACCCAAATTTCTTGGGCCCGGCCCGACAGATTCTCTCCCCTTTTCCTTATGTGCGTGTGTTTGTGGTTGTCTTGGACAACAAGGGATCAAAACCTAAACCATATATATGTATATATATATCGTTTTGTTCTTTTCTTTGTGCAAAAACCCGCAGCTTTATTTTCCTTGGCAGAGAAGAAAACGATCGCAACTTCTTTGTTCCTTTTTCCTTCTGCTGTGATTTTTGTTTTTCTTTCATCATCGATCATCATCGACCTTCCTTCATCATCACCATCATCACCATCATCTCCCTCGCCGTAAAATTTTCGTGCGTCATCATCATCTCGCCCTCATCTCCGGCGACCTTGAACCAGTCCGGCGAGTTGCAGAAGCCCGACGTCGCTGAGCCCCTCACCTCGCCACGCCGCGACAAAGCCCCCTGCCGCGCCGCGAAGCTTCCCAGCGGCCCCGTCGTCGTTCAGATTTTTTCCGGCGAGCTCGACATCTCTTCGAGCAGCGTCCGGCGACCCTCCTTCCGTTCCCGGCGAGCCCGTGAACCAGCAACAGCTTCCCTATCCCTCCCGTGCACGTCGAGCCCTCTTTTCCGGCGAGACGAGTTAACCGTCGAGCTTCTTGTTCGTGACGTTTTCGATTTTCCCGAGAACGGTACCTCGTCGTTTTTCCGTCTCGTTTAATTCATATATGCTCGTTGAATTGTTCATATTCATGTTGTACTCGTGTTACATTTTAATGTGAATTTATTGTTGAATATGTGCAAATATATGAATTGTTGTGATTATTGTATTCGTATGTTCGGGATCTCTTCGATTTTCTCGAAAATCAAACGAGACCTCGAAAGTCGTGTAAGTCGGTGGATAATGGAACAATGTCGAATCCCATACGAACGACTAACAAACATTAGTATCACTATACCCTCAATACCGGTACCTTCAGAACACATGGCTCTGTTTGATAGTGTTGACAATGCCTCCTTCCTTGCCGACACGAGCAACACATCGTATACGGTGTAGGAAGTACCGACTAGATGTTCGAAAGCAATCTCCTATCGCAGAATCAGTCTCACGATTAGGGATGCTCGATATTCCCATACTACCGATCTAACACCAATACCCTCTCATTCTTCGTAGGTCTCGATCCCTTTGAAGTATACATAGTCTCCAATCGAGACTCGAGACTCTGCCCAAAAACGATGCGGGATCTATATCTCATCATCTAGAGAGAATCTCGCATATGGCAAGGGAAACTAATCGACAAGCCTCACATATCAAGAGTTGTTGATTAGGGAATTCGTACAACGGTTCGGTGGAACTTGGAGTCCCCAGTTCAAGGTTCAGGAGAAACGGCTTCAAAGGCCAACACTCATGACAAAGAATACTAGTTTACCGACCCAAAAGAACATAGTCGGTTTGGAGTTTAATGCACTGTCACCCTAGAGATGACACACACACTGGCGCTGCATAAGCGGGGCGCTGGGACGCGTGCGTGCACCTGTTCGGAGACCAACTGCAAGGTCAAGGTTTGGCCGTACACACTGGCCTGGGGAGTTCTTGCGTTCGGTGATGGCTGCGGCAGCTCTCGTGCGAGTCAACGGTCGGCCACTGCAGTTGGCCTCACGTCTCTCAGCACAGGCGTGCGGGCTCGGCCACCACTTCGCGTGGCTACACCCGTCCAGGTTCGGTATTTAGTTTAAGGTACATACCTAAAATTTCAATTTCCGGGTCCATAGATTCCTAGATACTCAAATGGGAAAGGTTTCCTTACAAGACTTCCCAAACCACAATAGTTTAAGCAACACTGTTGAGCTACAATTTCGCATAGGAATCGAACATTGGCATCACTGCCCGAAAAACTCCTAACTCGACGGTCATCGCCAAACATTAGAATGGTTAGCACGCTTGACCCTTCTGACTAACAATGTCGGCCGTCACGACAGCTTTTACTCAGGTAGCTAATCGTGCCGGCAGTCCTAAACGAGATCGACCAAATATACAGCTTATAATTTCCACACTTCGAGATCTTAGCGTAAAGCTTCTCTCACAAGTGTTTTCTAGCCAACATTATAATACTAATTAGATTAAGTTAAATAGGGCACATATACATGAAAATTGACGAAAAGCTTATTCTTGAAATTCACAACTCATTTTGGAAACCTAAACATGAACTTGCACCAATTTTCAGCATGCGTGATGAATTTAAAATGCATGTAGCTTTCACTCTACAAATCATATCATGATGAAACCACTTGGAAAATATCCCTAACTCATGTCTCTATCACTTTCATGAAGAACAATCCGGCAGATAAAGTCATTTAAATGCACATAATACAGCAAACAACCAAAACATAGGTGTAGTGGATAAATGAAGACATACAGCTTGACAGGTCCTCAGTTTATGCAAAATAACCGAAGCTACAGACATGATATTATTGAAATTCAAAAACCCTAAGGTAGATAACTCAATTCTATACCACTTTTCTGAAGATCCTATTGGCAAATAATAACATTATAAACGAGTTTAAATATAAAACCTTCAGTTCATAAACACAGCCAGAGCACAACTTTTTGAATATATACAGCCCCTTAGTAGAATTGCAACAACTCAAGCTACACAACTTCAATTTATACAAAACAAAAATCTACAGAATCGAAACATGAAAATATACAATTGTTATGAAGGGAACTTTTTCATACGAACACGTTTGGATCATCAAAACAGAGCACACATTCAACACTTAAACACAATCCGGATTTCATAAAAACGGGGTGTACATCCCCCTTAAAAAAATCATATAAAATCAACTGGAACTCCAAATTGCATTCTTCCAATTTCTACAGGCAGCTAACAACATATACTACATTTGTCATGAAGAATACATTTTCATGCAGGCACGTTAAGATCATCAAAAGCAGCCATGAACTAAGGTCAAAGTTTCTGTCTGAGTTTATAAAAACTACATGCTTGTCTAACTTTGAAAATTCATATAAAATCCATTCTAATTCCAAATCACAAAATTCTAAGACTCACTGAAACCTAACTTAAAGAAACTACAAAACTCAAGAAGAA